GCTCCTTGGAGGCAAGGATTCTGAGGCTCCATCTAACATACTTTGGACATGTTGTGAGGAGGGACCGGTCCTTGGAGAAGGACATCATGCTTGGGAGGGTGGAGGGACAGCTCAGGAGGGGAAGGCCCTCCATGAGGTGGATTGATTCAGTGACTGGGATAATCGGGATGGGAGTGTCAGAGACAGTGCGATTGGCATAGGACAGAGCAGGGCTGTTGTACATAGGGTCACTAAGAGTCGCAAGCGACTCAATGGCACATAACAACAACAACATTTGTCCTTGTAAGACTTAGTTCACTCAGCATAATATTCTCTAGACTCTCCCATGTTATTTAATATTTTATGAAATCGTTGTTCTTTAATGTTCTATGATATTCCATTTTGTGACTGTACCACAATTTCTCAATCCATTAATTTGCTGATGAGTATTTGGACTCTTTCCATTTTCTTGCTATTGTGAGTAGCACTGCTGTGAACATAAGTGTACATATTTTCTTTCATACCTCAGTTTTATTTTTCTTGGAGTATATTCCTTGTAGTGGAATAGCTGAATATATGAGGTTTCCATATTCAGTGTTTTGAGGAAATGCCAACTGCCTTCTGGAATGGTTGTACCATTTTACAATCCTCAGTGGTGGATGAGAGTTCTGAACTCTCAACATGCTCTCCAACATTTATTGCTTCCTGTCCTGTTACACTTTGCTACTGTTTCAAGGTTAACTGTGAAAAGTCTTTCCATGTCTTTTGCCATTTTTGTGATTAGGTTATCAGTCTTTTTCTTGTGGGGGTCCAAGAGTATTCTGTATTCTTTTTTTAGATGATCTTTGTCCGAGATGTCAGTGCCTAATATTTTTCTTTTCACCCTACTGGAAAAAGTTTTTGATGTGAACAGGGACTTAATTTTTAGAAGATCCCATTCATTAATTAATCTAACATTCTTGATAAGACATTTGAGGTGGCTTCAATTTTAACCTTACTTCTGAGATAAAAGCTGCCTTAATTCCGAGAGAAAATGTGATTATTAAGATATGTCCTTTTGGATGGAAATTCAGGGACTACAACAAGATCATCATGCTGAGTAGAGTACAGGGACAGCGCAGGAGGGGAAACCCTCTATGAGGTGGATTGATTCAGTGACTGGGGTAATCGGGATGGGTGTGTCAGAGGCAGTGAGATTGGCACAGGATAGAGCACGGTTTAGGACTGTTGTACATAGGGTTGCTATGAGTCGCAAACGACTCGAGACGGCACATAACAACAACAACAACAAGATCAGTTTACACAATGACTCTGGCAATGGGGTCAGATGTGTAAGAAATGGAGAGGTTTCCAGGAGAGAATAAAATAGATGGTAAAAAGGGAAGCCACCAACTGGGAAAAAGTATTTGGTAATGACATGTCATATAAGGGACTTATATCCAGAATTTAGAAAATACTTGAGCACCACAACAAGATAAAGGTAAACAATCCAATAGAAAAATGGGCACAGGATATGAACAGACATTTCACCAAAGAAGACATTCAGATGACCAAAAAGCACATGAAGAAATGTTCAAAATCCTTAGTTCTAAGATGTAAATCAAGACAACTTATTAGGTATCATCTCACCCCAGTCAGAATAGCAACATTTAACAGAACAGCAAGCAACAAATACTGGTGAAGTTGTGGAGAAACTGGAACCCTTATTCACTGTTGGTGGGAGTATAAAATGGTACAACCACTGTGGACGGCTGTATGACGTTTTCTCAAAAAGTTGCAAATAGAGATACCATTTGACTCAGCAATTCCACTACTGGGAATATACACCAAAGAGACCATAACTGCCACCCAAGCAGATATATGCACAACCAAGTTTATTGTGGCTTTGTTCACAATATCAAGGGGTTGAAAACAACCTAAGTGCCCATCAAGAAACGAATGGCTAGAGAAGCTGTGGT